GGGGAAAGGGGGGTTTAAATTTTGGGGGTCCCCCCCCTTTAAAAGGAAAAACCCCTTTTTTATATGAAAAAAAAATGTTTTTTTAAAAATAAATCCAAAAAAAATTTTAATTTTTTTTTTTTTCGGCATACCCCCCTTTTTAAAGGGACCCAAAATTTTAAAAAAATGGGGGGGAAAAAAATGGGGGGGAAAAAAAAAAAAAAAAATTGGGGAAAAAAAAAAAAAAAAAAAAAAAAAAAAAAAAATAGTGATGATAATAATCATTTATAATAATTTATCATAAATGATAATAATAAATAAAAATAATGACTTTTTATTTATTTCCAAAAATTAATAATAAACTGCATATATATAGTATGTAATATATAAATTATCATATAAATTATCATAATAATTAATAATAAGATATACATCAATAGTGAGTAAGTACTTAAATACTCTTTACTTTTTTTTTTTTTTTTTTTTGATGAGGATATTATGCATCACCCACCAAAGTTTAACCAGTACAATAACACCACCACATTAAACCCCGCACTATAACCAAAAAAAAAAAAAAAAATAAAAAAAAAAAACTAATTTTCACCCACGTTTAATAATATTATAATAATAACCCTTTGAAAAAAATAATAATTTTTATTATAATAAAATTTTAAATAACCATAATTATTTTTAAATTTATTTTTTTTTTTTTAAAATTTTTTAATTTTTTTTTTTTTTAAATTTTTTTTTTTTTTTTTATTTTTTTTTTTTTTCAATACTCCACCTCCACACCACATTATCATATATTTATATATCTTTTTATTCTGATATTTATATTTTTTGTTTTTTAAAGAATATTTAATTTAAAATTTTTAATTTTTTAAATTATATTTTTTTTTTTTTTAAATTATACCCTCTCTATTTATTTTTATATAATTATTTATTTAATAATCACTGTAATAATAAAAAATTAAGATATTTTTTTTAATATCGCATAGCAACTAAATATATACAATCAACAATGTACTCACCAGAAGATTTAGAATTCAGAGAACAACAAAGATTAAGCAAAGCTTTACAAGGTAAATTGGGATCACAAACTCACCATTCATCATCAAGAAAATCATGGGCTCCAGTTCAAACCAAACCAGTTCATCAAACACCAGTTAATACAGCCACCACCCAATTAGGATCTATTTCAATCTCAGACTCAAATCCAAATGTTGATACTACATCAATTTATCCAGGTGCAATTGTTGAGGAAAAAGTTAAATTACAAGAAGCTCAACGTCTTAAGAAAATGGGTCTTGCCACCGATGAAAATGATCACATTTCCTCTTCATCATCCTCTTCATCATTAAACTCATCCACCTCATCAATGACCAAGAGTACCAGCAACCATAATATTGCTAAAGAAACTAGCTCATCCAATCTTTTACAATATCAATCACCAACTAGAGTTGCCGGTAGCATTTCATCAGAAAACCTCGTCGACAATACCTCAATTAAAAACAATGTTGACTCTCATACCTCTGATGAAAAAATGAAACAAGAAGCCAAAAGACTCGAAAGATGGGGTTTAAAGATTAACACTCCATCCACTCCATCACCATCAACCACATCACCAGCTGCAACTACACCAGCTGCACCAATTACCCCAACTGAACAATCTATTCCAACCTCACCATTCACAACCAGTGCTGCTGTTTCAGTTAACTCAACTCATTCAAACCTTTCAACTGCTTCAACTCAACAATTCCTTGATCGTGTAGTTTTATCTGCTAAATCTGTTAAACAAATCATTCAAAAGAAAACATCAAACCGTGATATCACCATTGCAATTCTCATGGATTTAGTCAAAGAATCTGCCAACTTTGGTATGAATCTTTCTGCCGATACCTCAATGTCATTTGAAATCTCTCAAAATGCTGGTAAACTCGCTGGTGCCGTTAATGAATTAGTTAAAGATAGCAATCACGACAATAAAATCTATGATGAAATTCTTCAAATTTTAGGTTTATTATATTTAGCTGTTGTTGCCAATTAAATAATATAAATCAAAAAATAAAAAAAAAATAAAAAAAATAAAAAAAATAAAACCAAATAAAAATAAAAAGTTTTGTAAATTAAAATAAAAATAAAAATAAAAATAATTTTATACCAAAAACTAAAAAAAAAAAAAAAACTTTTGCTATAATAAAAATAAGGTAGCAGATTTGTTTGAAAATGGAAATTAAATGAAAACTAAAAAAAAAAAAAAAAAAAAAAAATGTGCATTGTATTTAATTGTGATATCAATTATATATTTAGAAATTGTTTAAGTCATAAAAATTATACACACAAAAATATTTTTTTCGAAATATCTTCGAACAGCACCGAATTTGATTTTTTTTTTTAATTTTTTCAAAAAAAAAGTGGAGAGAAAAAGGAAAAAGAAAACATCACAAAATTTTTTTTTGGATCATTCTCTTCTTTCTTATAAATTTAATATATAAAAGAAAATAATTATTACTTTTTATTTTTCATCATCATTATTTTTATTATAATTATAATTATTCCTAAGCAAAAAAAAAAAAAAATTCTTTTAAAATTTTTTTTTTTTTTTTTTTTGAATATGAAATTGAATTTGAAATTGAATTTGTAGATTGAATAATGAATTTTGATTTTTGATAGTATTGTGTGAATTACATGTAAAATTTAAATCAAACAAAATATGACATAATTATTCATTTAATGTAAATAGTTGTTTATGACATTAAATGGTTTGATTGAATTTCTTCAGAGTTTTAACACATAATTATATTATAAAACTCCCCTTATTCTGGCCATAATTGTGTCAAAAAAATTTTTTTGAGGTAATAAATAGGGGTTGGCTTTAAAAGAAAAAAAAAAAAAACTTTTATTTTTTTTAATTTTTTTTTTATTTTTTTTTATTTTTTATTTTTTTTTTTTTATTTTTTTTTTTAAAATTTTTTTATTTTTTCCTCTTGTGTTATTCAATTAGTATGTGGAATTTTTTATTTTTTTTATGATACTAAATTATATTTCTCAATAAAATAATATAGAAAAATAGTAATAATTATAGTTATAAAATAACAGCTATATTATAGTGTATTTGTTTTTTTTTTTTCTGTTTTTTTTATATATAATTTAAAAAAATAAAAAATAAAATAAAAATTTTAATTAGTTTTTTTTTTTATTTTTTTATTTTTTTTTATTTATTTTTATTTTTGTTTTATTTTTCATTTTTTCAATAGACTCTCATAATAAATAAATAAAAAAATAAAAAGAATTCATAATAATTTATTTTTCCATAGGTACTCAATAGTATAATCAGATTAAATATATTTAAAAAAATTTAATAGTAAACCACCACAAAAATACATATAAAACAATTCATATATAAACACAACAAAACAATAATCCTCATAATTATATTCTAACTACGGGTTAGGTATAAAAAAAAAAAGCAAACAAAAATGGATTTCAAAAGGTAAATATTAATGTGTTTATATAATAATCATTAAATAAAATATAAAACACAAGCGTATTATATTTTTAATTGTAATCATATAAAAAAATACTAATTGATATTTTAATTAAATAAAGGTTTTTAGGTTGTCACAATAGTAATTTAAACAACAACAATAATGGTCTTAATAATAATAACAGCAATAGCAATAATGATTCTACAACATTAAATGTTACAATAGGAAATAGCAATCAGTCTATAGTAATTCCAAAAACCTCATCCTATAAAGAAATGATATCGACTATAAAAGATAAATTTGGTATAAATTCTAAATCAACTCTTTGTATAAAATGCGAAAATAGTAACGGTGAAATGTTTTCATTGGCAAGTGATTGCCATGTAAGAAAAGCGTATAGCCAACAACCAGATAATCAACCAAAAGAATTAAGATTAGTGGTCAA